AGGGAGGAGGGGACGGGTATTTGTATACACAAGGAGTGCAATGTGCACCACCCGAAGGATGGACATATTTGAAACACGGACTTGGGGAGGGGGGGACCAAGGGCAACATATGTAACCTAAACATCTGTACCCCATAATATGCTGAAATAAAAGAAAAAGAAAAAAAATTTAAATTCAAATGAAATAAGTTAAGAGCTCGGCTGTCATCACAGAAGCAGCGCCGGCTGGGGTGGCTGCAGGCCAGGAGCAGGGCCACGCTGGCCGCTGTTTGGGTTCCACCGTCTCTTATTCTATGAGCTTATTCTATGAGATTGGGGAATCAAGTGTGGTTATTTAGGATGCATTCTTTTACTGAAGTCAAATAAAGGGATAGGTCTCGTCCCACCGGGCAGGCTTCTTGGAGGAAATCACATTTCCACGGCTGATGAGAGGGGACGGACCCTGCCACAGGCTGCTCTGGCCCCACGCCCCTGGGCTCAGTCTCCTCATCTGTGACACAGGGATGGTCTCGGGGGCGAGTGAGTCAATGTGTGAAAACTCTAGAACAGTGCCTGGAACGTCGAGAGTACCCATTTCCTCCCCCTCCTCCCCACCCCCACCCCCACCCCTGATGCGGACAGGTCCCCTCTCCTGGGGCGGGGCTTCATGGAGACACAGGTGCCATGGATGGGGGATCACCCGCTCTCCTCTCTCGTCTCCCACAGCAGCCGCAGGCACCCTGGACAGCAGCGCCCCCGCGGAGCCGGAGCCCAGCCCCTGGGCGTGCAAGGTGTGCTCCGCCTCCTTCCTCGAGCTGCAGCTGCTGAACGGTAAGGCCTGCCGGGCTGGGAGGTCGGAGTTTGTAAGATTCCTGTGCTGAGCTCCTTCTGCCTACACTGTCGCCTCCCCGGGGCTGTGGTTGTTCTAGGCGTTGTCTGTCTCTTTGCCCCCACGGTTTAGCCTTCTCCGGTTTAAAGCTTCCGGCAGAACCCTCGGCTGCGTCGGGAGTGTGACTGCACAGCCAGGCTGCCTCCGGGGACGGGCAGCCCACGCCGTCTATCACGCAGTGCCGCCTTTGTTGTCCGAATGTGACTGTCCCTTCCTCTGTTTCTTTATCTACTCAGGTTGACACACCCATTTAAGGTGAATGTACTCCCAAGGGCGCAGTGCCCCGAGAACTTTGTTATGCCGCGCAGGGAGGGACTTTTCTGCATCAGTGTGCGGCTGCTGTGTAGTAACGGAGACCTCGGTCAGACAGACGGGCAGGAACGATATGTGGGTAACGGTGTGTGGCTTCTTGTCACGTGTAGAATGTGCTCAGAGGCCCTGGGCCCTCTGCGGGGTTTCAGGCAGTACAGCTGCGACCGTGATCGAGGCAGCCCTGGGCTGGTGGCACAGGCCTGACTGGCCTTCTTCCCCAGGTCAGCGGCTGGAATGTTCTGGAACCTGTGAGAAGGTTCCTCCCAGGTGGGTTTTAGTAACAAGAAGACTAGTGCGAGTGTTCCACGGAGAAGCCTGGGTGACACAGCAGAGATCGTCCATCTGCTTTGGGACAGGGACAGACTGACTCTAGCTCTCTGGTCGCAGTTTTCCAGGACGTCCTACGGATCTTGGTTTTAACGAATTTGCTGACGTGTCATTTGCCCCCTGCTTGGCGAGAAGGGTTTTGTGTTTTCACCGAGATGCGAATAGCAAGGCGGCTGCTGGGTTTTAGGAGCTGTGTCTGTGAAAAACGTGCCCGCTCCAGACGTCAGTGGGGCCCAGATGCAGGACTTCACAGCACGGGGACAGGGGGAGTGGCAGCACCAAGATGTGGTCGTTTAGTCCACAAAGCAAGAAAGGCTGTTTGCTTTGTGTTTTACCCTGATGGCTAGTTTTGAGTGAAGAAAACAAATTCGTCACTTCGGCAGTAGAAGTCTACTTGTCCCCCTCCGTGTACAGCTGTGAACTTGGGCCCCCGGCGTCCAGTCCGGCTGACGTTTCCTGAGACCGACTCAGTGCCGGGTCCTCTCCTGAGCACTCAGCTGTGTGAACTCAGCGAACTCTCCCAGCAGGCGTCTGGCGCAACCGCGACTCCCACGTGAGGCCCGAGCAGACCGCGGCGGGTGATTAAATCACCTGCCCTAAGTTGTGCAGCCGGAGTGTGGCCGAGCGGGGTTCAGACTCAGGCCCAGAGTGGTCGTGGGCTCTTCTTTCTGCTGCAGCCTCCCTCTGGGGGTCTTCTCGGCAAAGGAGGGGCTGTGCAGGGGCAGGACCCTTGAGGCCCACCGGCAAGGGTGGAGGGGCCATGCGCCCCGCAGACTGGCACTGAGCATGGCCCCAGGCCAGAAGACGGGCCTGTCTCCACCAGGCCTTCCAGGAGCAGACCTTGCTGGGCTGCATCAGCACCGCTGTGTCGTCACGGGGAACATAGCGGTTTCAATTTGTCTCGTTCATGGTGTCTGAAGCTGTCAGTGTTTGCCTGAGGTAGGGAGACTTGGCTTTGTAGTTTCAGGATCAAACTTGGCAGGTTTGCTCTCTTTGAGGAAGGCCTAACATTCAAACCAAGCCAATGCTTGAACTTGAACTTCTTTTATTTTTTTAATTGAACTCAGAAGATAAACAACTCCGGGCGAGTGAAGTTTGGCTCATGCTTTTCAGAGTCAGGCATGCCACGCGCTCCTGACACCAGGGCACTTGGCGGAGTTGTTAGAGCGGCGGTTTGGTGAGACAGAAGACTGTCATCCTCGTCCTGTCCTCTGAGGGATGTCATTTTCCTCTTGTCCCCTGGGGGAGCCCTGCTCACATCCCAAGAGTCCCCTAACGGTCTTGTGGTTAAACATAGTGCATCAAACAGGTGCGTTAACCTTGGCGCTCTCCTGGGATTCCACTAAAAGGGCAAAAACCAAAGAAAATGGGGAAGCGTGGAGCAGCAGGCGTGTTCAGAAGCTGGACAGTGTTTGGGAAGATGACAGCTGCCGTGCAGACAAGAGGAGCTGAAGCCAACAGTGGGGGAGACCGGGTAGCAGGTCAGCTCCTGCCGCAGAGCTCTGGAAAGGTCCAGGAACGGAAGGTGCCAGATGCCTTGAGGGCAGCAGACAGGGTGGTTGGCTGGGAGTGTGCACGGGAGATGGTCAGACCCCTCCGTTTCTGCCCCGTCCCTGTCAGCAGAATACTGCGGTTGACCGTCCAGGGAGCTAACGCAGAGGGACCCATGAGTGTGGCCTCCAGGAATACACTGGACTGAAGACAGGACTCGAGGAGGTCACACCACTGAAATGAGACCCCTTCAGCGTCCTCACGTGTTCCTCCAGCACAGGGGCAGCCCGGTTTGTGGTCCGGGAAGGGAAGGGTGGGCTTTCTCTGGAGGAACCGGCCAGTCCCCAGGACTATGACCACTCCCCCCCTGGCCATCCTGCAGGAAGCCACCCATGCCCGGGGCGCCCAGGGGAACCTCGTTTGTGAGCACTGGGGACTCTGGAAGGAGGGCTCACGTGAGGGGAGAGACCGCCACAGCCAACAGAAACAACTGCTCTGAGAAAACTGAAAACCAAACTAAACAGAAAAACCTCCATTGCAGCCTTGAAATAAGAATAGGTTGCTATTAAAACAAATTAGAGAACAGAAAATAACTGGAAATTAAAGCTGTGGTCGCAGAAATAAGTTTGAGGGATGAGTACTGCAGGACATTGAGGAATCTTCCAGAGAGATGATGTAAGGAGGAGACCGTAGGGAAAAGACGGGAGGACTGAAGTGTCGGCCCAAGAGCGGTTCAGCAGAGAGGAGCGTCCATCCACAGGAGAGGATGACAAACCGGAAACTGCTCCGGACCTGGGATGAGCTTCCGCATGGAAAGATGCGGTGAGTGTCCAGCACGGCGATGAAAGTAACCCGCCGAGCCGCGTCACCACGAAGGGTGAAATCGTGTTAGGATTTAAAGAAGAAAAGCTTTCAGAGAGAAGAAGCCAAGCTACCTGACACAGTGAGAATCAGAGTGGCAGCATGTCATACTTGTCGACCCCAACCAAAAATTCGTAAGCCACGTCGGTGTTCCAGGGTGAGAGCAGCTAAGGGTGTTTTCAGTCAGTTACGGGCACAGACGTGACCTCCTGTGTCATTTTTCTCATGAGGTTACTGGAGGGTGGGCTTCCGGGAAAATGAGGGCTCTACCCAAAAAGAAGGCGACAGGGCTACCCGTGGGGTTCCTCATTGCAAACAGCAGAACTCACTCCAGGTGCTTTACTAGAAAGGGACATGTCGAAGGCATTAAGTAGCTCAAAATTTACATGAAGGAGGCCGGGTGTGGAGGCTCATGCCTGTAATCACAGCACTTTGGGAGGCTGAGGTGGGAGGATTGATAAAGCCCAGGGGTTTGAGATGGGAATGGCAACATAGCGCAACCCTGTCTCTACAAAAATTAAAACATTAGCTGGGCATGGTGGCGCGGACCTGCAGTCCCAGCTACTCGGGAGGCTGAGGCAGAAGGATTGCTGGAGCCCAGGAGTTTGAGGCTGCAGTGAGCTATGAGGGTGCCACTGCATTCTACCTGGGTGACAGAGTAAGACTTTGTCTCTAAAAAAAGAACAAAAGAAAGAGAGAAAATAATTTCCAAGAAGGGCCAGAGAATCAAGTAAGGAGAACCCTAGAATCCCGCAGCAGGGCTGCCCAGACCTGCCTGGCAGGGACCCGGCCACCCACACTGACACTGGGCTCCACACTCGTGCGACCTCTGAGAGCCAGATGCCTCCACTGGCTTGCCAGGAAATGTGCTCTCGGGCCTCTGCATCCTCACACTGCTCACAGAGCCTGGGCGCAGACCTGCGCTCGGGGCAGGACAGCTGGGGAAAGCAGTTTCCCGCAAAAGGTGGGGCTCAGGTGGTGAGAAGTTAGCAAAACGTCATAAGAGTATTTTACGGTGCTGACAGCCAGGACACAGGACAAACATGCACTGAGTATAGGACACAGGCAGGGGCAAAGGGAACACCCAGGTTGCTGGTGCAGGAGGTTGCAGGACAAGAGCTCTGCCCTGGGTCTTGGGGGTAACTGGTGCAGATTGGAGCAGGACCAGGGACTCCAGGAAGAAAGGCTCCAAAAGGGAAAGAAAAGGAAAAGAGAGGTTAACTGATGTTCTCGTAGAGAAAAGAGACTTCCGGTAGAGAGTTTAGGGATCAGTTAGTGACATACACATAGAAAAAAACAAGCAATGTTAAAAGGCAAGGCAATAATTAACTCCAGGAAGACAAAAGTGGTATATATAAAACTAATCATAACCCATATGTGGCACAGCTGTGAATACATCTTTATGGTCATAATTATGTAAACACTGATTATTGATTTACCCCAAAATTGTGACAGGGATATACTGGTGAGATTGGAGAAGTGTCAGTATTTGGGAGGGAGAGTACCCTGCGTGAGAAGCTAAACCCCGGGCTTCCGTACGCAGTGGCAGGTGATGTCTGACACAGCAAATGGGCAGACAGTAGTGCGGGGCGGGCGGGGGGCTGCTGTTTCTGTCACACACCGGCCCTGGCTGGCTGAGCCGTCTCTGTTTTTCCTGACAGACTGTTACAATGTTGTCAGTCTTCTCAAAGCACTAACTTTTGGCTTTGTTGATTCTTTCTACTGTATTTTCATTTTTATTAATTTCTGCTCCTATTTATTATTTCCTTTTTATACTTTTTGTTTATTCTGTTTCTTTTCTAACTATTAAGTTGAATGCTTAGCTCATTAATTTTCAGCTATCTTATTTTCTAATATTACACAAGCATTTAAGATGAATTTTTTCTTGAGAACTGTGTTAGCCACATTCCATTTTTGATTATACGGAGTATCTAAATTTATGTGCACTATATAAAATGCTGCATTAATAAGTAGAGTATGTGTACTTCTCTTTGATATGTGGTCTCCCTTCCCCCATATTTCAGTTCTAAATGTTTTCTAATTTGCATTATTTTTTGTTTGAATCCATAGTTATCTAGAATATTTCCTGATTTCCATACATACGGCTTTCTCCCCCCAGTTAGCTTTTGATTTCTATTTCTAATCTTCAACCTAAACTCACTTTCCTGTTGCCTCCAGAATGTCTTCTAGGGCAGGCCTGCAGGTGGCAATCTTGTCAGTTTGTGTCTCAAAATGTCTTTATTCATAATGGAAACTGTTGTCGCTGGATGTTGAATTCTTGGTGTATTCTGGTTTTCTTTCTTC